TAAAAGCTTACAATATGCAGCATTTACATGACTAGATATATTAGGTACATTATTTACATGAATATGATCAATAAATCATGTATATATATGGAGATATCTAACTAGCAATCTTCCTATATATATACGTATATTATATACATACATATCAAGAATCGGTGGAAGAGGTATGAGAATATAGAAATTCAGAAAACAAGAGGTGTAGTTGAAATAATTTGTTGATAGTTATTTATCGAAATAATACCACAGTTACTTTTCTATGCTTGTCCCAATGACCAGTGTTTGTCTAGAAACTTTCTTTAAACAATGATTAAAAATCAAGTGCCTCAATTAACATGCCATTGCAGATCTCTTGAATTAATGGTGTATAAATCAGATAAAAACTTTACAGAGGATCTCATTAAATTTACATGGGATTAAAGAAGAATTTCTTGGTGAAGCCAAAGTATCTCAGTTCGGGTGAGAAAGTAGGAGAGCTCGCGTTATAATTTTTCAGGAATTCTCTGTAAAATTCACAAAGTTCCTGGTCAGCGGCATGCTCTGCCAAAGTGCGACACAAATACCAGTTGAAGGCTGTTCCTTTCCCATTCGGGATGCAGTTGAGACCAATGTTATTGGAATAGATACAAGCTATGTCGTTGAGGGGATCTGTCAACCTCATCACTTTTATAGGTTCAGTGCTTGATGTTGTGTTAACTTCACTCAGGTTGTACAAGTTAAAGATGAAAAGTTTGGGTTTGTCTTTGAGCTGAGGACATTCGGAATCCTTGAAGAGATTTAAGATATAGTCGATGTCTAAAGATTTCATGTCAGGCGTAAGAATCTTCCTGCCATTTACACTATAACCAGAAATGACAAATATAGCACACCCGACGCCCGTTAGTTCATCAGCATCCCGAATATCTTTCAGGACTTCCTTAGTTTGCTGAGCCGTGAGTGACGAGTGTGTTTTACACTTGTATCCCATGTTATCAAATACATCTGACATAATGCGAGCATCGTAGTCGAGTTGCTGAAGGTTCAGGTCGGATCTGTCCTTAAAAGAACTGAAATTGAAAATGCGAACAAAGCCTCGTGCTTCTTTGTCCATCTTGTACACATCAGCACCTTGAATTGCTGTTGCATGTCTCACGTGAAACTGTCGTGTGGGCACCTGAAATGAAAGATGTCTGTCCTTAGTGGAATGGAAAATGTGAAGGAATTTTCTTCATAGTAAAAAATAGTTTAAAAAAATTAAGTAGAAAAATATACATATGATTCAATTCATCTGCAAAGTACAAAAATACGTAACTCACTTTAAGTTGTACCGAGTTGGAGGTGGCTGATGTTAGAAAGCTAGTTTCATCGGTTTTCTTATCATTTCTTGCTTTCTGAAACATTTGGAGTCAATGTAAGTTTTCCGAAGCTTACATTACGTCATATAAACGTTTTATTCTCAAGATATTGTCAGTAGTTTGAGGAAATATGTAATATAGGATGATTACCTTTGCAAACATGGTAACAGCCCATTCCATATTTAGGGCATTGGCCAGGAGGCGAGGTGTAGTGACTCCAAGCTCTCGTGTCAACATCCCGTTCACCAGCTTCCCACCGTGACTATCTGGGTCTGCACCAAATTCCACAAGTCTTTCTGCTTCTTTCTTGTTTCCTTCTAAGATGGCCTTGAACAGATGGCCACCAAGCTTAAAATTAAAAAGAAACTAATATAGAAAAGTAAATACTCGAGTTGAAGATGCTTTTTGCACAATTAACTACATTCTAGTACTCGGATTCAGACTTGTCTGATTTTAATGCTGCTGTAGTTTTTAGGATTCCATCATTAATACTCACTAGGGCTTTTACTGAATTATGACGATTATCCCGTTTGTCGGCTTCAAAGTCAGAGTCACGCGCTAAAAGACTCAGCACTTGTGTGTGACCTTTTTCAGCGGCTACATGAGCTGGAGTTTGTCCATCCTTGTTAGTAACATTGGGACTGATAAATTTCAACAGAAACATCACCACATCCGGTTGGTTGTGAGACGCTGCAGCATGAAGGAGTGTGCATCTGGTCTTGTTTTTCCTCACAGCTGATCCCGTGTCTTGTATTAGCTCCTGCACTCTGACCACATCTCCATCTTCTACGGCTTTAAAGAGCTGACCCTATTGAGCAATAACAAGTTAAACTTTTAGATACATTTTGAAAACTACTAAAGCAGAAATTACCATATATTTCATATAGAAACAATTAGGTCTGTACAATAAAAGTTTACATTACCTTCAACTTGAAGACATGAAGTGGTGTATGGTTAGCCATGCGTTTAGCCAATCTATTTATTGAACTTCGGGTATTAATGTAACGTTTCGATGGAGTCTTCGTCCTCTTCCCCATCGTAACACTAAGCTTGGATTGCTTTGACTTTCGTGATGACTTTAATTTCCCCAAAAAGGACTTTTGTTGCATGGGAATAGGACTTATTTTTGATGCCCGTTTAGGATCTAAAGGGCAGTTAGTTTTCCCACA